TGCGCCTTTGTCTCCGTTCCGTCCCCGCTGGGCACAACAATATCATTATAATTAAATGTATTAATGGTTTATTATTAATATAAAAATAATTAATAAGAAATCTTTATTTTAAAATGTATTTTATTATATAATAATAATTACTGTTACTGTCTATCATTGTCTAAATGTATTTTTACTGTTTAAATATATGTATTCAGCTAGTGTAAACATGCATGATGCTATCACAGCGAATGCGAGGCTGAGACTGAAACGTTACCCTTTGTTTCCGCTGAGAGACGTGCTGCGTGACTCATTTCCCTGTGCATACAAGTTATCTTAGGTCTGCGTTCACGGTTTGACTTCTGAGATTCAGATCGAGTTCTAGGTAATTTTTTTCGAACTGGTTGGTTCGACTTTTGAGAAATTCAAGTTATAATGAGTTTGAGAACTGAGGTACCACTGTATATGGGGCCAAATGTCACCATGGACACTGCCTCCTAGAGGCTGGTTTGTGCCGGCAGCTATTACCCTTTCTTGCCGGACTGAATGGTTTTTCCTGAACAGAGAATGGCAGTTTGATGGCTGCTTTGGTTTGGGGTCCCACCACACTGGTAGCATCACTACTGCATTCATGTGTAGAATGGGGGGTACCATGGTTCGTCACTAGGCAGCACTGCTCTTATTAATCAGTGACTTTGTGACCCACACTGTCAGCTTTCCTCCAGCAACCGGGTTGATCTGAAGCATTTCCATGACCGGGACAGCTCACACGATTAATCTGACCAGCAGGGGGTGCATCGTTTAATGTGCCGGGCATGTTGCTGAAAGACTGGTGAGTTCTGGTTAGAGTTCAGACCCAGAACCTACATGGGAATACCCCCCCCCCCACCCCAGTGCAAACACAGGGTGGGGGAAGCAGTGAAGAATTTGCTGGAGAAGAATTTGGCTTCGCCTGATGCCTGGGTGTTCCTCTGCGGGCAACCTCTAATTGTCCTTATCGTTGTTATTTTTACACTGTTTTTATTTTTCAATGCCATTTACATCTCTGGCTGGGGTCATTAAATCAGCTTAGAGACACAGAATATTACAGTGTAAGAAGCGTTTACACTCTTGATGAGGTAAAATGGTCAGAATTGTCTGCCACACGTACTCAGAGGTGTGAGATGGGGGTAATAGTGCAGTAATCTGATATCTGTTCATTACCTGCTAATTTTCTCTAGGAATCCTAAACATTTTAACAACCTGTTACATTGTTTTTTTGTTAAGGGGCCTTATTATTCACAACATTTTCAAATAATAAATAAGCCTACTACCTAGGGCTGCTGTTGCTGGTGTGAAAGGAAAGGACAAAGGTCAGACAGTAGGGGGCAGAGTGATTAAGGTGCTGGATTTCTGAGAAGGAGATCGCCTGTTGAAATCCCACGAATGCCATGCAGTTTTATCCATAATCCAGGCAGTATGAGTGATTTACTTTGTGTATAGTATGAATCTCTGTCAGCTGACTCTCTCCCTCTGTGTCCCTGAATAACAATAGTAGCAATACCACGTAGAGGCTGGTGGCAGCTCCTGTGGCAGTGTCTCCTCTGACCTGCAGCAATCTTACCATGCCGGCTTCCCCTCCACTTGTGACACGATGCTGTGCCATCCTTCTTTCTCTCCCTCTCACTCTCCCTCTTTCTCTCCCCTCCCGCTCTCTTGCCCTCTCTCTCCTTCCCACTCTCTCTCTCTCTCCATCCCCTCTCTCTCCCCCTCTCCCTCTCTCTCCCTCTGTCTCTCCCTCCATCTCTCGCTTTCACTTTATTTATTTGCTTAGTACATATTTTCAACTTAAGCGATTGCTAAGTGTGCAGCTTTATGAGCCAGTGACACTGCAGGGGCCCTTACTGGAAATCTGGCACAACTCCGCAGTTCTGATGGCTATTTCCCTCACCTGTGCAACCCCCTGTAGTAGGAGAGAGCAGGGCAGCATTTATTTATAGAATGAGAATTATTGTCATTAGAATGTCTTGTAAAAGCTGTTTTTAAGCATATGGTATATAATGTTGCGATAATGGTGTACTTGGTTGCACGGTGATAGCGATCAGTGTTGGGGGTAACGCGTTACAAGTAACGTGCGTTACGTAATAATATTACTTTTCTTAAGTAACGAGTAATATAACGCATTACTTTATAGATTTACACATTAATATTTGAGTTACTTTTTTAAAAAAGTAGCGCGAGTTACTTTTCTATTTTAATTAATTTGCTTAAAAATATATTTTAGTCACGTAGAATCACGCACTCAGTGCTGCTTTGAAAATGCATTCCGAGCTGACCACGCCCACCCTACGGCAATCATTGCGTCAAGGCGGGGATTGGCGGAAGCGCGTTACGTTTAGATCGTTTGAAACATGGCGGCTGGAGATCTGATAAGATCGTTGAATTCATTGGCAGATGAAGTGGAGCGTGAACAGAGAAATCAAACTCAAGAGTTTTGGTCTATTGCAATCAGCTTATAGGCCTACATTTGTTTAGGCTATGTCAAGCAATTTTTCAAATTATAGCTGAAAGATTTATGTTTAATTGGGGATGTTGTTTGTTCTGTAGTACAATTTCATTGTTCTCTAAAAAGTTATTAAACATTTTAAATGTTTAAGATCTGTCTTTTGCCCTAATATAACTTATTTCACAATGGCAATTATCTAGCCTATATTGCACTCTTTATTATCTCATTGGACAGTGAATTTACTTTATGTAGGCCATAGCCTACCAAAACAAAAATAAAAACTTAACAAACACATTAATTTTCAACTTTCAATAATTAATGTTGAGATTTTTTTAAATGGCATGCATAGCTCTGAAAGTTCTGAGAATATTATATAATTCTATATTATTATTCTATATATGTGTTTTAAAAGAAAATGACCTGCAGGCTTAGCCCATTGAGCCACACGCTGCCCCTTAAGATGAGGTCATAAAAGCTGTTGTTGAATGCTGAATTTCTTAGTCAAAAAAACACGTCTAAGGCCTGAACAACATAAAGCTTTAGCCAGGTAAGAAATAAGTAACGCAAAAGTAACTCAAAAGTAATATAACGCATTACTTTCCATAAAAAGTAACTAAGTAATGCAATTAGTTACTTTTTGGGGGGAGTAACTCAGTATTGTAATATATTACATTTAAAAGTAACTTTCCCCAACACTGATAGCGATGTTGCATCACACCTCCCAGGTTCGGGGTTTGAATCCCCCCTCTTTTCTGTGTGTGTGTGGAGTTTCCATGTTCTCCCTATTCGTTAAGGTAGCTGGTTTACCTAAATTGCCGGTGTTCTTTGTTCCTTAATCTATCAGTGTGAGTGAGAAGGAGCATGAATATAACAGCAGGGTTGTTTTCAGCAATTCTGATAAAAACCTATGAGTCCTATTATAGTGTCCCTAGACATCCTGCCCCCTTGTGTCTGGACTTGGTGGTCAGTGCTTGTGGCAATCAGAGGATTCTGGGCTCTCATTGGCTGCTAGGGGATGGGCATCATAGCCAAGCTTAGTCTGAGGTCCTGCTGTGTTTGGGCTATCAGCAGATGAGAGTCTGACTGATTTTTTGCTTGGGGCCTGGGGCTCACTGCTCTGCCCCTTGCAAACAAGTCATTTAGACACCTTACTCTTCTGATTGCACAGGGACTCAGACTCAGATAGTATTGTGCATTCACTGGACAGAAACCGAGTGGAGGGGCACAGCAGAAGAGAGTCGCTGGCTCACATTCCAGAAGGGGCCGGCAGTTGTACCTTGAAATAACGCATTTATACTGCATGCTACAGAAAACAATCCAGGTTCAGAATCATACTGCCAGCATTAAGATGTAGCTGACTGTAGGGGTGGGTTTATTGTTTCTGGGACCTCCCTACATCACATTTTTCAAAAGCTAAATAAATAGCTAGAGAGTAGAGTCAGAAGATTTGCTTTGGCATCTCCTAAATAAGGAACATGTTTATTTAATATTTAGTGAAATGACTTTGCGCCCAGGAGGGACCTTCAAACCTAGGGGGCTCTGTACAAATGCATGGTCATGCAAGTCATGCAAAACCCTGGTCATAAGAGCTCCTAGGAGAAAATGCCTGCAGTCACATCTGAGGGGCTCATTCTCAGTGCCTCCAGTGTTCGCATCACTGGTACAGTCTCTACAGCTTATCTGAAGGTATTATATAGAAACCAAACAGCTTCAAGAGCAATATTGTGTGTATTTTTGGTTCAAATCAATGACCTTCCCTGGGGATGTTAATGGGGGCATCTCCTACTTCTTTAACAGTTTTAGTAACAAAAGAGTGCATAGTAAATCAGCAATAGGGAGTTAAACTTCAGACATACAAATTCCTAAGACAGAACCAGTCGGCAAATAATTTCATAGTAAACAGCAACCCCATCTTGTGGCCGATTTGTGAACAATTAAAATTTCATTTTACAAGTCCCTCCGTGATGTTTGTGTGTGTGTGTGTAGTGAGGGGGGGTTGTTAATACATTTTGTTAATTCTAATAAATTCCAAAATGTGCCATGTGTGTAGGAGGCACTTCCCAGAAACATTATACCAAGATTTTGTTAGACATTCAGTGCAGTAATGGTTTGTGTCCACTTTTAGTTTTGCTGTGACTGAAGAAAGCCTCGGTGGTGCTGGTGGTTCAGGATTCAATGCTGTTTTGGTGGGGGTGGGGGGGGGGGGGGGGGGTAGGTGAGTATCAGGAGGTGGGGCCAGGGAGTCTGAGTGGAACCCAACACTGATATACATACATGGTCCAGCAAAGACCCAGACCCTGAGATATTGGAGAACAAGCAGCAATGGCCTGATCAGCTGGCTGCAGCCTTGGGATTGGCCCAAAGTGATTACTCCTCCCACACTCCCCCACAATCAAGTGTGGCTTCCTGAACCTCCCCCCCAGAAGGTTATCCTGCCCCCACTGATTGAACGCCCCCCCCCCCCCACAGCCGGAGACTGTCTGTGAGTGAGAGAGGAGGAGAGAGTGAAGGGGATGGGAGGGGAGTGTGAGAGAGATCGACATGAGAGAGCTCTCAGCTCCTCACAGTTCCTCATGGCTCCTCTCAGTTCCTCACAGCTGCTCCTGATGCTGATTTAGCACAGAGGAACTTTGGGGGGGGGTTGCCTGTGAAGGTCCCTCATCCACTGTAAAACATGGCCCTGTTCCTGAGTGGGTCCCACAACATAGAAGCTTACTTCAGCCTGATACGAGGGAGGGCCAGACGGAGGCGCAGGAGACGCTCTGAGTGTAAAGGTACTCTATCTGTCACTCTGTCCTCCTGCCACTCTCTGTCTCTCTCTGTATCTGTCACTCTCCTGTCTTTTTCTCCTCTGTGTGTTTCTCTCATTTCTGCCTGTCTGCCACCCTCTTCCTCTGTTTCTCTCCTCCTTTTCTCTCCCTCTGTGTCTGTCTGCCTGGCTGAGTCGTGCTCCTTGTATGTGTTAGATGTTTTTTTTTTTTTGGTGTTCTTGGACATGTATCTCTCATGCTTTCTCTGTGATGCTGCTGTAATATTTTGACTCTATACTGTGAGCTCAGCGCTGTGAGGTCTTCTATTAGTGCTCTTCTCCTGTCCTGGGAGGTGTTCCTGCTCCCCATCCTCAGAGCAGTGCTGTAGTCTGCTTGTTTCTCTACAAAATGGACCATGTGACATTCCTGGGTCCAGGGGACCAGCAGTGCTCACCCGCTTGTGACACATGCTCTGCAGCTGTCTTTGTGCGCTTTGATATCTGATTAGTCTTATGAGGTTCCTGACGTTTTGCCTTTGAGTTCATTTGGATCTGGCGCTTCAATTTGGCTCCTTTATCGCAGGCTGCCTCAGCCTTCAGCCTATAACAGCTTGACCTAAGCTGCCCATTTCCAGAACACCAGTGCCCCCCCCCCCCAACTAAAATGCCCCTGGAGCACATGGCAACATGCTTATTAATATGTTATTCCAGTCGAAGTACAACATGCTCTGTGGGACCGTGAGCAGTAATCGGCACAGGGTCTTCCTCAAGCTCAGCCGTAATCTGTCTTCAGTTAGGCATCCTTGTCTGTACTGGGGGTCCGGTTTGTTAATATAACTGGTGCTGCTAGTGGGGAGGGGAGGTTTAATTCCCTTCCGCCTCTCCCTGCAGACCTGTAAAGTCTCAGAGGGATCAGCGTGGATGTTGAGAGCAGCCAGGGGGCGCCATACCCATCCGATTATCATAGTGTTAGCTTTCATGTCATTGGGGGGCTGTTATAATAAAGGTCTGTCGATCACCTTGGCAGGAAGTGTGCCTTTCTTCTCCCAAGGCTACTCTACAGAATGGCCTCCGTACCACCGTAGAAATGTCTCCCCGTATAATTTCTTCTTCAGACAGCTTCTGTATTTTATAATGTGACATTTGTGCCCCCTGGTTATTTTCAGTCTTGCCAAGGTAAAACAGCAGCTTCCTTCCTGGCTGTTGAAGGCGAGCTCCTCTGCTCTGCACAGTCTCTCTCTCATTTCCGTGCCTCTTCCTGCTGCCAGCTTGGTTTCTGAAGTCCCTGGAAATTAGGCTTTTGGTTGTTTGAAGCCCAGCTCTCAGTCTGAAGGAGCAGCAGGTGATTTTCCTGTGTCACTATCAGGAGCTGTTCTCATCAGTCCAGAGGTAATTAAAAAGGTGCAAGAGTCATTTAGAACGTTTTTGTTATCTGTCTCATCTCCCAGCCTTTTGTAATCGCATTTGCTTGTGTGAAATACCTGCTTTTGTACTGTGTCGTTTAACAGGCTTTAATTACTGAACTGGCAGCTCTGATTGAACAGTGACAAGCCCTGCATTGTGTTTTAGTCAGACTGTTTACTATTGGTGACTCATTAGCTGGTCTCCGTTCCTACCTATGAAGTGGACTCTAATATTTTCAAGTACGCTCAGGTATAAAACATCTGTGGGTCCCTTATTTACTGTGTGATCAATCGAAGCAGATGGTAATTTGTCAGAAAAGATCCATTTAAGTTGGATTCGCATTTCCCACAATGTCCCACTGCTTATGGGCATTGTCAGCCATCATGTGACCCATGACCTGCAGTAACTGACTCATTTGCCAGGTCATCAGGCCCGGTCTGCCTTTCCAGTTCCTGTTGTTTAACTATTGTTTACTGAGACTGATTATTACAGAAATATTGTCTAATTTCCTGTCATTAAAGCAATGTGGAAAAAGTGATGTAAGGATCTTTGTTTGACAAGTAGTTGCTTGTTTTAAAAATCAAGATTGTTTGTGAAGATAGTGAGAGTGATTTGGGGGCTATATAGGTCCACACTTATTCTCTTGGCTCCTGTATGTTATGAAAGGCAGTTAACTTCACCAGGACTGAAGTTTTTCATGTTAATGGGCTAGGAAGATTCTGCCCATGAAAACTGAGGGTTAGAACCACACAAGGGAAGATTCTTTGGGTGGCAAAAATGGGCCTTTTTTTGATAAGGTGACTCCTAAATACCTTTGGAAGTCTTAGCAAACCATAATTGTGTTTAGCAGTGCAGTGTGATCACCCTTGACAGAGCCATTCCGATCTGTTACTGGCCATTAGGGTACAGAAATCCAATAATAGGGCTCAAGATTAAAGTAGAATGAGGTTCACTTTCATGGAATGGATACGACAGGGGGGACACAGACCAACCCAACCGTAGGGACAAGGACAGAGTCCTGCACTGGGTCGGGTACCCGCAGATAGTTGCTGAAACGGGCGGGTTTTAATGTTCTGGAATTATGCAGGCGGGTAATTCATTACACACGGGCGGGTAGCAGGTCAATCAAAACAGTATTGTAGCCTGCAAAAATAACATATAAGCGAAAATATCTATGTATTAGACTATCATGTACAAATTGTCATCATCACAGTGTGTTCAGTATGTCGGGGGTACCTTATGGTGCTTTCGATTATTTCTCTCCAAGTCGGAACTCGGATGAAAACGTCACGAAACGTCACGAAAAACGTCACTTCCCGTTGGAAACACACTTCTTTTATGACGTTGATGTCAGACAAGATTTTGTTGTCCGAGTTGCCCCTGTGACGTCATTTCAACATGGCGGCTTACACACTCAACAGTAATTCTATTTTATAAATCTTTAAAAATGTTTATTTTGTTAAATGTATTAATAGTTATAAATGTAACTGCATGTGTTCGATTTAGAGAATACCATATCATGACCGTAAACAGTATACTATCATGCAATATCAGATTTTTTACCAGACTTGTTAGTGTCTTTGGTTTGTTTGTAGTTTGTTTGCCTCTCGAAAAAAGAATATTGCTATGAATGTGCTAAAATATTTTATAAAGCTTTTAATGTGGTTTCACTAGTTCGTGTTTCTTGTTTGTTTGTCTCTCGGGAAAAATAATCTCACTCCAAATCTGCTAAAATTTAAATCAACAACACACAGCAACGTGTTCATGGAGGCAGCCATGTTTGTTCCGAGATGTGGTAGCTCGAACGGGAGATTGTTGGACGTGATGTCACTCAACTTGGAATTTCCGAGTTCCGAGAGAAAAACTAACGCACCATTAGATAACCGCCTCAACAAACATTCACATACACGTCTGAATCCTTGCTGAAGCGTGTCGTTGTGTTCTCTCTTTCACGCTCGTCATAGTATGGATAGCTTAGATCTATCTGATTTGATTTTGTGTTAAATGGACTTTTTCATTTCAATTCAAAATTCATGTAGGCCTAGCGCTTGTCACGTTGAGAGGTACATAGAAAAAATAATTGTGTGTAATTTATCATGGGTACGGGTGGGTAACAGGCGGAATGTTAACGGGCCCGGGCAGGTGCGGATATAACTTTGAAATAATCACCGGTGCACGAGCAGGTGTGGTGCTGTACTGTGCAGGTGCGGGCGGGTGCAGGTCTCCAAAAGTGGACCCGTGCAGGACTCTGGACAAGGGGGTGTCATATTGGGTTCATTATCTAGCTGCCATGGCTTGTTATTTTTAACCAGGCAGAGCAGCAGCTATCCCTGCCTGGAGGCCACGTGTAACGCGACGGCAGAAGGGTGATGTGTCTGAAACTGGTTTGGGGGCAGGATCCCCCCAATAATACAAGACATCAGTGTTGGAGGGGATACACACCTCATATTCCCTTCGGCTTGATCAGCAGGTGCAATGCCAGGTCTTGCTGACATTTTCTTCTCTTGTTCCAGGTGTCGGAGACCCGGCCATGTCTGAAGGTAGGTCAGCCTGTCTGCAGTGATGGTGGGAATCACTTCAGGGTCAGAAGAGGCTGGTTTTACAGTCTGTTTTTATGTGTGCAGCTTGTCTGAGAAACCTGTAGGTGGCATGGCGGGTTGGCATCCTGAGGTAGGGCTGCATTCATGAATGGAGGCTTTAGAAGGCATTCTGTTGACCGAACAGCCTAAGGCATACAATGCTCAGGGGGTTCTTACTTCTCGGCCCATGCTGGTTGCGCCCCTTCAGCTGTCAGTTACCCACATCAGTCTATAGCAAATGGAGGGATCAGGGTGGCAGTAATGCCACCCCAGGGAGGAACTTAACTTGCAGCAGTCAAGCACAGTCCTGGGGTCCAGTGGACAGACAGCTGGGGGTCACTTTCTGCAGTCTAACAGGTCTCTCCATCTCTGTGCACCCCCTGCAGGTCGGGCAGGGGTCCGGCAGCCTCGAGGTCAACAGAAATCTTCAGCCACGGACAGAGAGGAGGAGGAGGAGAACATGAGTGAGTCCTGGGCCACTTAACTGATCAATATGATTCCTGTAGTGAGGAACGGCAGCTTCTGGGATAGATTTGGAAGAATGCAGAATGCAGACATGCTCCTTGTGACAGCTGGACACTGGGGGAAGGGGACACACAAACGGCCATGGGTAGGATTAGGTCTTATTAGGATGAGACCCTAACTAGCATGTGGCTAGCTAGGGTCCTCAAAGCAGGGGTTAAAGCTCTCAGCAGGGGGTGCTAAAAAGCTATGGTGCCTCAACCCAGGTACTAGGCAGAGGGATGGTGATCCCTGTGCAGCATGGTCCCAAGAGGCTCAACTCCATCCTGCCTCCAGGGTTTCCCTCACACACACGATTTTCATTTCTCCATTTTGTGTATATTTAACTGTCTATTTCCCTTTTTCTCCCTTTGTGTCACCATGTTCGTCTTTTACATCCTGCTTTGTTTAATTAACATGAAGTGAATCAATGTGTCTTGTTAATTTCTCATACATCCCACATTTGCTAAGAGACACACTTAAAGGAGTTGGTCACCCCTCCCCACCCCCCTGCTTTTCTGTCTTGACCACCCAGGTATGTGCAGCACTGATGTGAAGGAAAACCGCCGCCTGGGTAATGTGTCCTCCAAGGAGGCAGGGGGTGACACAGTACAGCTCCCCAATGGTAGTGGTGGAGCCAGCCGTAAGCGTCCCCTTGAGGAGGGCAACAACGGCCCTGCCCATGCCAAGTTCCGGCCCAAAAAGCGTAAAAAGGCAGTGGGACCAGTGCTGCCCAAGAATGCGCTTATGCAACTGAACGAGATCCGGCCGGGGCTGCAATACCAGCTACAGTCGCAGACAGGCCCTGTGCATGCGCCTGTCTTCATCATGACTGTTGAGGTTAACGGGCAGCTCTTTGAGGGCTCGGGTCCTACCAAGAAAAAGGCCAAGCTATGCGCAGCCGAGAAAGCGCTGCGCTCCTTCGTACAGTTCCCCAATGCATGTGAGGCGCACCTGGCCATGGGCCGCACGATTGCCGTCACCACCGACTTCACCTCCGACCAGGCCGATTTCCCTGACACGCTCTTCAATGGCTTTGAGACTCCCGCTCCCCCTGCACCTGTCTTCTTCCCCACCCCACTGGGAAAGTACCCGTCATCACCTGCAGGTGCCCCTACACTGAGCCGGCCCCTACTGCCCACCCTCGCCACTCCAGCTCCCCAACCCAGTGGGAAGAACCCGGTGATGATCCTGAACGAGCTGCGGCCAGGTCTCAAGTACGAGTTTGTGTCAGAGAGTGGTGAGAGCCATGCCAAGTGCTTCATCATGGCAGTCATGGTGGATGGGCGTAGCTTCCAGGGCTCGGGGCGCAACAAGAAGCTGGCAAAGGCGCGTGCCGCACAGGCTGCACTGTCTACACTCTTCAACATGCAGCTAGACCAGACACCCTCCCACCAGCCAATCCCCTGCGAGGGCCTGCAGCTACACCTGCCACAGGTGGAGTCCTGTCTTCAAACTGGCAGCCTCTTGGGCCAACGTGGCTCCCCAACCCTGAGGGGTGTGTGTTTGTGTGTATGTGTCCCGCAGGTCCTGGCGGATGCCGTCTCCTGCCTGGTCGTGGACAAATTCAGCGAGTTGACGGACAACTTCACTTCACCTCACGCACGCCGGAAAGTCCTGGCAGGAGTTGTTATGACGACAGGTAGGCCATTGCAGAACAGAGGATGTCCTTCTGGGGCTACCAGAGGTTCACTGAGTCTCTGGAACTCACCCCCCCTTACCGGTGTTTTCTTTTACTGATTTTGAGTTTATTTAAGCTCCTTCACTGAGGCATCTCCTTCACACCTAGCCCCTCACCCCCACCCCCCTTCCTGCCTTCTTCAGGCTCCAACTGCAAAGAGGCCCAGGTTATCTGCATCTCCACGGGAACCAAGTGCATCAACGGCGAGTACATGAGCGACCGTGGGTTGGCGCTGAACGACTGCCACGCCGAGATCATCGCCCGACGCTCGCTCATCCACTTCCTGTACTCGCAGCTGGAGCCCTTTCTCAGGTGATCAGCCTCCTGATGATCATTTCAGCCTTGCTCGCTATTTAGTTGCAGTTGCAGTTGTGCTGATGTTGGATGTCAGTAGATATATTCCAGCAAAGCAAAGCTGTGAGCCAATGCTTTCTGTGCCCACTGCCCCTTGCTCTGACCCTGTTCCCTCCCCATCCCTCACTGCCCCGCCTCTGGTCCCTTCTCTGTTTCTCACTGCCCGGTCCATGGCCTCCTCCTCTGTACTTCACTGCTCTTCCCCTATCCCACACTGCCCTGCCCCCTCCCACTCTCCTCATTGGCCTGTCCTGGTCCCTCCCACTTCCTTCACTGCCCTGCCTCTGGCCCCTCCCTCAACCCGCTCTGTTCCACCCCAATCCCCTCCTTCGACCCTCATTGTCCTGCCCCTGGCCCCATTTCTCCTTCCTGTCTTCTGGCAGTCACAACAAGAAGGAGGAGCAGCAGAGGTCCATCTTCAGCAGGTGTGAGGGGCGTGGTTACCGGCTGAAAGAGAACGTGCAGTTCCACCTGTACATCAGCACCTCACCCTGTGGGGACGCTCGCATCTTCTCGCCCCATGAGGCTGGAGTGGAAGGTAGGGGCTGTGGCTCCCGTCCCAACATTTGCACAGGCACATAGAGAAAATGAATTCATTCATTCAAACTGGGTTCTTAAGAACTACATCTCTTGGTCGTTTTGTCTGTTAAGTATGTTTATTAAGCTGGGGGCGGTGAGATATCCCTGGTAGCATCAGAGATGCAGGTAACGGGTTTTGGTTCCTCCATGCCTGAGCTGGCTGCCTCAGAGTGCTGCCGTACCACTGATGACCATATTTCAGGTCCAACAGGTATAATCTCATCTCTTCACCTTTAAGTTAGTGATGCAGTCGGGGCAGACAAGAATGGAACCGTTCTGCTTTTCAGACCGACCCTTGCTTTTCTTTACATTTGCATTTGCCTCTTGCTGGGTTATCTGTTCTTCCGGTTTTAATCTCCTTCCCACACCTGTAGACCAGGGTGACAGACATCCAAACAGGAAGGCGCGTGGGCAGCTGCGCACAAAGATAGAGTCAGGCGAGGGCACCATCCCTGTGCGCTCCAGCAGCACCATTCAGACGTGGGACGGCGTCCTGCAGGGTGAGCGTTTGCTCACCATGTCCTGCAGTGACAAGATTGCCAGGTGAGCCTTTATAATCAGGACAAAATCAACCAGCCAATCAGATCTCCAGGTCAGTTTTCATGTACATACTAAAACCAACCAACCAATTAAGTTACTGCGTGGAACGTAAGTGGGGGTCTGATTCATGTAGACCTACTCCTTTTCTCATTATAATTGGTCTGTAGCTAAATCTTGCAGTTGTAATATGAAATATTTCACATTTTCTTCTTTCCTGCCTGGTCTCGCCAGGTGGAACGTGGTGGGGGTCCAGGGCTCGCTGATGTGCTACTTTACGGAGCCCATCTACTTTTCCAGCATCATCCTGGGCAGTCTGTACCATGCCGACCACCTGTCCCGCGCCATGTACCAGCGCATTGCAGACATCGAGGCCCTGCCTCCCACCTTCACCCTCAACCAGCCCCTGCTTAGCGGTGAGACCAACCGCTCAGGCAGGCGGTGTGTAAACTGGGCAGGCAGGCAGAGCATTAACCTCTCAGATGGGCCATCTATAAACCATTTAGGGAGTCAGTTTCTAATAGCAGTCAATCAGTCCTTTGGGGCACTACACTGATCTCCTTCAGTCTTATTAGGATGAGACCTTAAGCAATGCTCCTAATCCTACCCATGCCCCCAGGGATCAGTAATGCAGAAGCCCGGCAACCAGGCAAGGCCCCCAACTTCAGCGTGAACTGGACGGTGGGCGACCAGGCACTGGAAGTCATCAACGCCACCACGGGGAAAGACGACATGGGCCGGGCCTCGCGCCTCTGCAAGCATGCCCTCTACAGGCGCTGGCTGCGGCTGCACACCAAGGTACGCTGCATTATTGCAAGTCTCCACTCTCCCGGGAGCGAAGGGGAGCAGCTGCTTCACCTGTCCCTGCCCTGCCGACTCAGCCCCTCTTTTGATGTTGACCCCCCCCCAGCTGTCCCCGACGCTGCGGATCCGCGCGGTGCGGCCTGGCTCATACCATGAGGCCAAGCAGGCGGCGGTGGAGTACCACAACGCCAAGCGTGCCCTCATGAAGGCCTTCCAAAAGGCAGGCCTCGGCGCTTGGGTCAAGAAGCCCATCGAGCAGGACCAGTTCTCCCTCACATCCTGAGTGGATCAGAATCGGACTCAACTCATTTCCTGGAGACAGCAGACCCTAGACTCCGCCCCCCCCCCCCCGTTCCTCATCTTTTTGTCATCCTTTTTTTATTATTCATTTTTTTAAGTATCATTGAACATAAACATGCAGTTGTAATGATTGTAATGATTTTTGAACTGGAAAACTTGCATTTTTTATTTTGTTATTTTATTCCATAGAATATTAGATTTTTTAATGAAATGAAAAAAGGGAATGTGCCTGTCAGGTGAAAGTTCAACCTGGCCAATCAGCTACACTCGGAGCGAGGGATTGTGGGTGTCATCTTCATCAGCTCGTTTTACTGTAATGACAGAAAGAAATTTGTGCCAGTTTGCCATGCATGTTTTTGTGCTGAATGCACACAAATGTGCTCCACCAGCAGAGGGTTGGGGGGTGGCTGTGTGTCCAGCGCACTCAGGGTCCGAATCAACTTTGCCCACTTGGTAGAAAGATGCTGTCCATTTGGACATGTGATCTTTCTTTATGTAAACAGAACCTGCCCCAAGATTGGTCTGTAAAGATGAGGCTCTAAAATGCGGAATAGTCATTTAAATACATCTCAGGTTTGCTTATTTTCTTTTCTCGTTTCCAATAGGAAAAACCGAATGGCTGTTGGGGAAGTAGAGCTGTCTTTGTTTCATTATAAAATACGGCCTATTCTGTGACTGAGTTCTGTGGACTCGCTAGATGCTGAGAGTCTGATTGTGAGCATTTCGGTTTATGTGTGATGTAAATGGTATTGGGAGAATTTTGCTATGCTCCTTTTACTTAGACTATTCAATACTAATACTAATGCCTGGTTAAGGTATTTGCAGGGTTTAGCACTTGTTTTGTCTGTCCTGCTTCTTTCTACATGGGTACCTGTTGAGAGGTTTGGGTTCAGTGTGGATCTGACCCAGCTTGCAACCTTCATTTTTACCAGCAATTTGTCGAAAAAATAAGTTTTTATTTTTCTCCGCTGTTTGGTGTACACACTGTGTCCCTGTCCCAGTATGATAGATAGATGGATGAATGGATGTATGGATGTATGGATGGATGTTTCTTCGTGTAGTGGATGAGACACAACCTGTCCTGACCTTTCTGTTTTCCCTGCTGAAGTGTAAAGGAGATTTTTTTACTAGGTGCATTTATTAACTGCTGTCCTCTCACTTCCCTGAATGTGATCTTTTTCATGTAAGCGACAATGAAGTTGTTTTTATCTGCTATCAGAGTGTGCATGCATTTTTTGTGTGTGTGTGTGTCTGTGTGCATTGTTTTTTTAAATCAGTCTATTGTGTGGACCAGATTTCCCCACAATGTGATAAAAACCTATAACTTTCTACCTTGTGAGAGCATTTTTTCAGTCCCCACAAGGATAACCACAATTTTATAAAAATCTGTAAACGCAATCAAAAAATGAAATGTGCCAAAAGTCTTGTATTGATTCGATACTTAAGGTTACGGTTAAGGTTGTCATAGCTAGGACCTCGGTTATAACCATAGAAATTAATGGAGAGTCCCCATAAAAGATATGAATACATGGGCTGTATGTGTGTGTGTGTCTGTTCCAGATATACCTTACATTGTGAGGACCATTTTTTCAATTCACTTTCAAGGGGAAATTCAGTTTTATAAAAATCTGTGACTAAAATCAAACTACAAATGTTAAAAGTCTCATATTTAGTTCATGGTTAAGCTTAGGGCTTAGTAGGGATTAGCTTTCCCCATGGAAATTAATGGAGGGTCACCTCAAAGATATTACAAACCTGTGTGTGTGTGTGTGTGTGTGCGTGTGTGTGTGAGAGAGAGAGAGAGAGAGAAGGAGAGAGGGACATCACCACAGCTGAAGGCTGGAGATTTCTGTTGAATCTTCACCAAAGATCACATCTTTAGTTTTTGTTACTCTGTTTGCCAGTGAGATGTTACAGCCACCATTTTGGTGACTTTTGACCAGTGTTTAATATGCATATCATGTGGATTTCTGAATGTATTCATTTTAATTGAAAATGCAGTTTTAATTTCTATGAAAGTGACCCTGCATCTTTTTCCTTAAGTTCAGCACTGAGAAACGCTGCTTGTGTGCAGCTACAGAAGGGTTACAGGTGTAGAGCTGTAAGTGATGATCTGTCTGGCAATGAGAGCTAAACTTCAGGCTGTCAGAGTGATGCTGAAGTGAATTTTGCTCCTCTGGGTTTGTAAAACCACAACCATTGCTGAATGCTGAATGTGGATAGCATCTCTGCACAAGCACTAAATCAGCAGCTTGTTTAGGTTTAGTTGTGGTGCTCAGAGAGATACACATAGCAGGAACAGGAATGGCACTGGGCTTGAGAGGGATCCAGCTTGTCCCCCAGTGAGATATTGCCTTGATCCGCCCTTCCCCCTGCCCCCCCCCATACACACACACACACACACACACACACATATGCATGAGGTCCATCGCAGAGGCCACACTTAGCATGAGGTTAAAAGACAAAGAAACATTTTTATGTAGAAAATGGAAAATAGCTTATTCATATGGAAGATAATAAAACTAATGTGGTTTACTTTTGCATTTGTTTTTTGTGTCTTTCCTACTATTTATTTGCAGGCTGTCTATAGGAGATGTGATCAGTGTAGACCCCCTTCACCCATGCAGACTAACTCCCCCCGAGTTGCTGTACCCCCTTGTCACTCAAGGCCACACCCTCCTGGAACCTGATTGGCTGCCGCTTTGGAGCAAAGGCCCTATTAATTGCCCCTATTAATGCAGTGTCTAACATGCTACAAAAATGTCCTCAGGCCCATTTTGGGCGTCTTCATGCATAGGGGGGTTAGTCAGCTCTCCTCCAAGGCTGTGAAATATAATTTTTACTTTAATATTGCAGGCTACTCCTATTGGGTCCATTAGAACCATAAATATAAATCAAGTCTCATCAATCATGAATTTTTATTGTCACTAAGTATTTACAAAACTTTTACATTTTGTAAAATATATATAAGACTGACGTCCATCTTTCAGCTGAATTGTTGTATTCTAATTGTGATTGTTAAATGCCCCCATGAAATGTAAAGAAAGTTGATAAATTTGGCGCCATGCAGGAGGATTGCTGCATCCCTCACTACTAGCCACTAGGTGGCACTTCTCCCACTCACAATCGATTATGGTCAGAACTCACACAAACAGTGGACTCATTTTTTGGATTACATTGCTGGTGCTGGCAAACAACAGAGAATCCAAGAAGTAACACTAAGATCTTTGATAGAGAATTGGGAACAGATTACTATGTTTTTCCCAGGTCCTCTGACCTCAAAAGTGTAATGACCCTGCCTTTGATTGACAGCTCACACCCCTCTAAATCGGGCACAGAGAGGAGGCCAGCCGGGGTGGTTGGCCCTCTTGTGGCTGCAGAAACTGATTGCATCCTTAACTCAAACCTGCCAGTGAGGGAGTGTTCATGATGAGCACATACAAGACACTTTATTATAAATGAATCAGCAGTATGAGATGGAGTATAAAAAGGCAGACAATGTTAAGAGACAAGGCCTTATAAAAATCTTGTTGTGGATAATGCATGGAAAGGCAGGGGACACTGGTTTGCCATTCCAGTGTCTTAAATTATGATGATGTTTCCCACCCCAGCTTCACACTGTCAGGGGTCAGAAATTTATGAATCTGAGGGTCAGAGCTCCGTGTGCAAAAGGATCTTGGCTCTTCTCATGTTCTTTACCACTGGAAAGGGGGACAGGTTCAGTGGGCATGCTGGCCAGAAGACCAGGAGAGTAGCCCAGCATTCTGGGGGTTAGACGGCACGTCACAGCAAGAGACAGAGCACTTACGGACATCCATGTCATCTGGTTGGTAGGTGTACAGGTGGTTGCTGTACTTGCCCGCAATATCAGCACGTATTGTCATGGATGGGTCTGCAGGGGAGATGAGGTATCATACAGGGGTAAGACTGGCAATAAAGTGACAAGCACACACTCTGCACTTAGTGCTACCTTGTCACGAGCTTGTGACATTTCGGCTTCTGCTAGTCTCACTGCTTCAACTGAGTGACCCTCAGAAACGTCACACAGAGTCACCTCAGCAGGCCACTCTGGCTCAGTAAATATGAGCATCTTGTTAAAGGAGGCAAGGTCATGGGGCATCAGTGGGGGGCAAAATGATCTATCTGACCAGAACATGTGACGCGGGACTGTCACAGACAGACTAAATAGGAAGGGTACAAACACAGACATGAGAGGGAGAAATAAAACCAGTTACACTCTGACCATTAAAATGAGCTGAAGGGGAGATGAAACCCACCAACAAAGAGGATCCTGGGAACATACAGGCCATCAGGAGCCAGGTTCTTATCTGAGGTTTCATGCTGAAAATGAAAAGAATACAGCACTGATGTAGGTTAAGTTCACCACTGTCCCTGGTGCAGGCTCCCACTGGGAGGCCTGTAATTAGGATACAATGATCTCCATGGCTGTACTTACCATTAGGTTGAGCATGATGAAGTCCTCCTGGGCCATTTTCTGAATATTTTTATCCAGAGAAAATGTCTTTTTAAGGGCTACAGTAAGCATGTAAAGGAAAGGTCACATTATTCAAATGTGAAATAGCTTAAAATGCTGTGAAACAGTGAAACAAATGTGAAACAAATGACCAGCCTGCATCAAGACACAGAACATACAGTAGTGTGGGATTCTCAGCTGAAGCAGGGCATAGGGTGACTGACCTTGGCTGTATGGGCAGTCCTCTTTGTGATGAATTACCATAAGTGGTTTTTTGCTTTAGGGACAAAGAGGGAAAAGGGTGAGCAGAACACAAGCCAGCATGCTCAGCAGAGGACATAAACACACTACAGACAACTGGAGCAGCAGGGTAGCCTTGTAAACCAGGGTACCTTCTCTATGACTGCATTTCAGACGATGGAATCCCTCTTACCTTTCCTTCATTTTTGTCAGTCCTTCTTCATAGGTTTGGACCCATGTAATATCATCTCCCCATCCTTAAAAACATCATGGGGAATTTACAATGAAACTATGGACAAAGCTGATGGCAATGTGTATTTAGGGCGAGCACTCAAAATGAATCTGAAAGCTCACGTGCTGGGCCACGATGTCATGTAACAGATTGTACTTTTGAATTCGTCGGTATATTTCATTAATATTTTATATGAAAACGCCCGTATGAAATGGCTTTTCTGAATGCACTGTTGGCGCCCCCTATAGGAAGAGTCAGATTCTACCACCAGTGATTTCCAAAGAATGATAATGTGATTGAATGGCCATTGCACTTACCTCTAGACAGCGTCTGAGGAGGTTTTTTCGGTTTTCTCTGGTATGAGAAATTTAGCGTAGCTAGAAATAGTAATATGATGACGACTAGCTGGGAAAACATTGCCTTCAAACCTTGAAACAGACGGAGAATCGCCAATGTGCAGTGTAGTTTATAAATAGGGCTACTCCTCGGTCTCAGAAGAACTGAAAGTTCACATAACCACATTTCATGACTTCCTTATTGTAAATTAAGCAGACGCAGCACTAAGTGCAGCCTGAAAATCAGGTGTGTAAACCTTTGTCCTGTAAGGCTGTAAAAAGAAAACTTGCCAAACCTGCTCAGTGTTTCCGCTTAAGCTACTGATAACCGGGTTATGGTATGTCGTGTACGAGGTTCGGAGTATCAAAGCACACGTGACCTATCCTTGAACGCGACGCTCCAATTCTCCGCAGGTGTCAGCATCTGAATGCACCATCATTTTGATAGCTTGTGAAATTCGCGTTTCACAGTTTAATAAATGAAGAAAATGTCATTGTGGAAAACGGACTGGATTTTACAGCAATATGAATAAACGTGAAACCCCCTACATTTTCACACACTCTGGAGGTGGAAGTGTTTCACAACACTATTGGAGTAGAATAAATTGATAATTCAGAGCACAGATGAAGAATCGTTAGCCTAACGTGGTCCCCGTCTTACCGTTCAGGAGGCGGGGTATCTAGTTCACAGTGAAAAGTGTCCACCGACGGTGTGTCCTGCGCTTCTTCACGCGACACCTGGCTGACAGGTCGATGAGCACGTCACTCCGGGGTTTATTTTTAATTAATGGGTGGAGTCCAGCTGGGCTGGCAGGGGAAGGTGTGCAGGCATATACACTCAGGTACACACGTCCTGTGCTGGAGTTATGTGAACCAACACGGCCGGTGTTATGCCGAAAAAGGCATCCCTGCCGTAGAATGCATACCTGTCTCTAAATGACCGATTGGTCGCTGATCTGAAACGAGTTGAGCTACTTTGTCGAGTAAGGCTACCGTAGTGCTAATCAATAGCCCCCAAAAAACCCGTAAAACTCTAACCCTAACCCCCAAAAAACCTCTAAAACCCTAACCCCCCAAACACCCCTAAAACCCTAACCCTAACCCCTAAAAAACCCCTGACCCCCAAAAAACCCTTAAAAGCTCAACTCGTCGGAACACCGGCATGCATTCTAAGGCAGGGATGCGTTTTTCGGCATAACACTGGTCCTATCACGTTCCCCTAGCAGCGGCTCAGTTAAATTTAATGAATGATATATATTTTCCCATAAAAACGATATGACAAGAAAGTAGCTATAAAGACTTAATATTAATCGAATGTGTCTGATTAAAATATGTGTTAAAACGTGCAGGTGTGTCAGAATTTCGCCTGCGTTTTAAATCAAGACTCAATAGTTTTTCATTGTCAACACATCCATGTACAGTGTATCATTTAAAGCGATTACCCTAAAAACAGCCACTTGAAGCGTAGATCTTAACGGAATATAGACATATATACAGAATAACCCATATAACACTTATGGTTATATGGGTTAAATGTGGGCTGATCGATATGGACCCCATATGGGCAGGATCTGGGCAAACCCATATGGGTTAAATGTGGGCTGAACGATATGGGCCCCATATGGGCAGGATCTGGGCAAACCCATATGGGTGAAATGTGGCTGAATGCGATATGGGTAACACCGAGATTTTATCTAAAAAATTACTGCTGTTATAATTGTTCTGAACACACATACAATTGTTTAATTCTTAATATTTAATTAAGTTTCTGAGTGGAAATTTGAAACCCCCAGGGCCAAAACTATTACACGAGAATTAACGTCCCAAAGTGGAAAATGAAAAAAAAAAACATGGTTCTGTACTGTGCTTTACTTTTTGGCTTTGTCCTTTACAGTAACTTTTTTGGAATACAGCAATGAATTTTATATATTAGTTATCATGTTTTTGCAGTCATAAATGTACAGTATACAAATATCTTTGGAAGACGACCATACTTTTTTTACTATAGTCTTGCAGTTTCTAATTTACATGCCAGCAACAGTTTTGACTTATATACAAATATTTGACTTGTATAGTGTTTTAAGTTTTTTGCTGTAGTGTGTAATGACCATTTTCATTAGTGTTTATTTAACCGACTGGCTTGATGTGTGATCTGAAAGCAATGTTTGCTTTTGAGCAAAGATAATAGTTTTCAGAAGATTTTTTGATTTTGCAAGACGAGTGTAACGTATTGTGGTTTAGCTTGAATTTTAGGGTTTGTGCTTATAGAGGAGATTTTAGGCAATGTGTTTTAGCAATTCAGGAAAAATTCAGGATTATTGATTGGGCGCCGACGCGAGTGGCAGCATGTCCTTTAGCTCCGTGTCACCTAAATTTCCTTCTGGAACCTAAATTTCCTTCTGGATAAATAAAGTATCTCTATCTATCTATCTAAAACTGTAAAATGTCAAGGCATATCAGACTACTTTGAAAGTGGGTGATAGGCCTCAGACTCGATCAAGAGGGTTACAGTAAATACTAATTATTCTGTTTCTTTTATGTTCCTCTTTTTGTATCTGCTACTATGACAAAAAAAATCCCAGTCTAGTGCTGCTTCATTATTCCATCCTCTTTGTACAATGTACTGATGTACAGTACTGTCAGCAAAACAGCATGATACACTACCACCACCATGCTTGACCGTTGGTTCAGTATTCTTAGGTTAGGAAAACAACCTCACTCTAACCCCTTCAAACATATCTCTTTTCATTGTGGCCAAGCAGAGATGACACATTCACACGTCATTGTGACTGCTCCCCCATCCCCCACCCATTTTAATATAGGCTACAGCTTTTGATAAGATCTGTGTTTTAGCTGATAATTACATCTAATCTTAAATCATTTTTTTTGATAAACATCATAATAAAATTGGAGTGAATACATTTTAAAAATAACATACTTGAAGACCAGATGCATACAGATTCATCAAACAAGTCATCAAACAATCAGTCATTGGCGTAGAAAAAAACTGAAAAAAGGCACCTTTCGAAAAGGCCAGGCGGACTAGAGCTGTACTGCGAATGCGCGATACATTCCAACGGCTATTTCACCGGACGTCCACTCGAAAAACTCCACAGAAGTTGAAAACTTTCCTGGTGCGTTTTAGGTAAGTAATTTTACAGTTGATTGTTTGATTGAAAAATACATTATAAACATAGAATTATATCAATTTGCATGCGTCCGAACGTTTTCTTATATTTTTTAACTAGTTTCCAACTCAAATGCTTAGTGAGCATACGCTTTATTTTAAATTTACAACATTGTTTAATGTATATGACCGCCATTGTGTGTGTGTGTGTGTGTTTGTGTGTATATATACGTGTTAAAACGCCGTCTAATCTATACTGTGATAGATGTTAAAGTATAAAGTACAATATTGTAGTCAGATCTAGGCTTGCCACTATAGACGGTGTTGACGGTGTTATGACGCAACACCGGTGACATCACTTTTCCAGCGTGATACCGTCCCCACATTTATTTATTTTTTTTAAAGACTGCTGACTTCTCATTTTTGTAGCCTAATGTCATTTTGGAAGTTTTTCTTTTATATTCGTTTCTTGTTCATTCGTTTAAACTTTATTTATTTATCTTTCTATTTTATTTTCTTATTCGTTTTAAAAACGTTCTAACATAGGCTACGTAATAAACGTTCTATGGTTGTTATTTGTTTGGTTCCAACTTCCACAGTTTTTTCAGCCTGTAGCATTGTTGTGTTTTTTGTTGTGTTATGTTAATAAAAGTTCTGTTTAATATCAGTGATTTTTTTATTGTAGTTTCGTTGTCGTCCATTCAAACAATTGACGCCGAATTGCCAATTCCCGCAAAACTAAAAGTGAAAGTATAATACGCACGCATTTATAAGCTATTTAAAAGCAGGGAAAAAAAATGTCACATGTCCATTAACCGGTGGGGAAATTTCCTCATCGTCACATCCCTAGTCAGATCAGTTTAAAACATTTGTAACCATTTTTTCGTAACATCATGTAAAATGATGATTATTAAATTAGAACTCAATTCAGCGGGAGAACAAATGTTATTTGCTAATGTAATCTAGTTCCTTTTTGATAATTATTTCAGAACGTCCTTTTTAAATGCATATGATGGACATATTGCATGTATGAAGCATTTTCCCGGCGCCTTGCTTTAGCGTCTCTCGTCCTTCACCTTAACGGGCCTGGGTGAGGGGTGTTTTAAAAGCCGAAACCTGTTTGCAAAGAAACACTATAGAGATGCGTAGAAGCATGGGTGTAAATTACGGGGGGGACTGAGGAAGAGGAAGAAGGGTTCAAATTTACGTTCATCGCGGTAAATTAATTGGCAGTCTGGCAAAGTTTTGAATAAATTGAGAAGTGGTAATATATTTAACATTAGTTTTTTTTCAGTTTTAATTTTTTTATGCTCTGCTGCTCCCAGTACAATAGAAATGCAGATATTATTGTATTTTTAGGTTGGTAATTGTTAGGTTTAAAAGTAATTTTAAACTTGTACTCTGGGATTT